GTGGTCCCCCCGAGCGCAGGGGAGCGGGCTCGGGGAGCTGTGGCCTTAGGGGGCCTAAAGAAGGGCAGTGCTGAGGCTGGGGGCTGTCAGTCCGGCCCGGGCTTCGTGCTCGAGGTTTTGGCTTCACGCTGTACCAGTTAAAAGCAGCTTTTCGTGTGGGCTTCTCTGGAATGAGAAGCAGTGATGTGCTCCGGGGGGGAGCTGCCGGGGTGTGGTGAACAGTGCTGGGGCTGTTGGCTCAGAGCGGGGTGAAAATAGCAGTGAAGTAATGTATTTGTATGGGGTGTCCTCTGATGGCTTCCTTTTCTGGTGAAAAGGTCTCTCGGGCAGTGAGCTCATTGCTGTTCCTCTTGGCTACAAGCTGGTGGAAGGGCTGGGTTGCTAAGCCAGGAGCTGTACTCCTCTCTTTTACTGAGGAAACAGCAAATACTACAAATAAGTAACAGAGCAAACCGCAGGTGCTGTTCCTTCTGTGCAGGACTGCTGGTGAGACCTTGCTGCTTTCCCAAACTCCTGCAAACTGCTTGGGGACTATGAACCTGCCACGTGCACTAATAGTGTCTTCACGCATAAGGGGCTGTAGCTATACTGCTATGAAATGGTGTGAAGTGGGGGCTTGGTCGGCTATGGTGTCTTTAGTGTTACATGTTTAAAAAGTGTGCTGTGGTGGAGGAAATGACAAGAAATGATTTTCTCTTTTTCTTGTATGGACTTTCCAGAGTGGTCTTATCAACCTGAAGATGGCAACGCTGATCTTTATTGATCAGGAGAATGGTGGAGTTGGTGCTACTAAGAATCAGCTAAGACTCCCATCAGGATCCTGTATGTATATACTGCCCTAAGCCTGTAGGGGGTCAAGGGAAGTGGATAAGTCATGTTTTCTTATTCACTCTTTTGAACAGTAATAGTTTTCTCTTCTTATATTTACTTATCTAACCAGTTTTCCCAAGCTTCTAAATTACTGTAAAAATGAAAATAACTCTGTGGTTTTGTCATAGAGAAGACTTATGCTCCTGAGTTATAAGTGGTGAACAATAATTTTCATGATAACTAGTTTTTTAGTACATGCACTTACTGAAGCAAGTTCTAGGGTTGATATGGTGCTAAAGTTTGCTTTTTTTCTTGCCCCCACTCTGCAGCAAAAGTCTTATCTGAAAGAACACAAGTTAAAACTCCACTTCCTAAAAAAGCAATCAGTACACCTCCAGTCATTTCTCACTCTGTCAGAAAGGCTCTTGGAAATGTGAATAGAACTGGGGGAGTCACAAGCAAGTTGGAAAAGATAAAACAGAAAAATCAGCCTTGCACTGAAAACAAAGTGAGTATAACATGCTTCTCTGGGGGTGGGGGCAGGGAATGCACAGTTTACATACTGTTCTGGTTTCACCCTGGCAGGCAGCTAAGCACCACATGGTGCTTGCTCAGTCCCTGCTCAGTGGGAGTGGGGAGAGGACTGGAAGGTAAAAGTCAGAAAACTCAGGGGATTAAAAATCTCAAAGAAAAACAACCAGTTTTTTGCTACCAGCTGACTGGTGCCTTGCCAGTCCCTGAGCAATGGCAGCCCTGGCAGACTTCCCCACCAGTTTTCATTGCTTTAGCATGATATCACATGGTATGGAGTATCCCTTTGGTTGTTGGGGTCAGCTGTCCTGGCTGTGCCCCCTTCCAACTTTGTGCACCCCCAGCCTGCTCACTGGTGGCGTTGTGAGAAGCAGAAAAGGCCTTGATGCTGTGTAAGCAGTATTCAGGAATAGCTAAAACAGGTGTGTGTTATTAACACTGTTTCAATAGTGAATCCAAAACATGGCATCGTATGACCTCCTAGGAAGAAAAATAACATTATCCTAGCCAAAACCAGTATGCCTACATAGGCACGAGGAATAAACAGCTTATGGGGTACCTAATTGCAAAGAAGGGGCTCTAGAGAATATAGTTTCAGTTAATGTCTTGTTCACATAAGAACCTAAATGTACTACTGCAGTGATTTGTTGCCACTATCTATAGTACTGCACTACATAAACTCACCTGAAGCATTTGCCCACTTCCAGTTTATTTGTGTTGAAGGTTTTGGTGGGTTAAACTTGTCTGGATGCTAGGTGCCTGCCAAGCTGCTCTGTTATTCCCCTTCTCAGCAGGGTGGGTGGGGAGAGAAAATAAGATGGAAGAATAACTCATGGGTCAAGATAAAGGCAGCTGAATAAAGCAAAAGCAAGGCCATGTATGGAAGCAAAGGGAAACAAAAGATTTATTCTCTCCTTGCTATCAGCAGGGAATGACCAGCCACTTCCTGGGAAGCAGGGTCTCAGCATGCATAGCAGTCTCTCTGTTAGACGAATGCCATAAATAACAAATGTCCCTGCTTCCTCCTACTTTCTCATAGCTTTTATTGCTGAGCAGATGTCATATGGCATGGAATATCCCTTTGGTCAGTTTGGGTCAGCTCTCCTGGCTGTGTCCCCTCCCAACATCTTGCCCACCCCCAGCCTACTGGTGTGGTGGGGGAATGTTGGAGGGACAGCCTTGATGCTGTGGAGCACTGCTCAGCAGGAGCTGTGGGGCACTGCTCAGCAGGAGCCAAACCAGAGGTGTGTTATCAGCACCTCTCTAGCTGCCAATGCAACACCCAGCACTGTGAGGGCTGCTATGGGGAAAATTAACTCCATCTCAGCCAGACCCAGTACAAAGGTGTTAAGCATAACTGAGGACTGTATGGCAGGTACTCTTGTCTGTAGACCTGTACAGTGCAGGAAAGCCCCTACAAAGGTAGTAAAATGTGAAACTACAGTATCTCAAATCATGTGACTTTCTCTTTCTAAGATTACTGAAGAGACCACTGGATTAGAAAGCTGCAATGCAGTGGCTGAAGAAGACTGTCCAGAAATAGAAAATATGTTTCCTTGTGATCCTCGAGGTAAGAACTATTGGTGTAACCAGTAAAACAAACAATCAGTTTTTTGTGGGTGTTGACATTGCTGTAAGACTTTGGCCAAGCTATTGTGGGAAACAGGCTAGCGCTGCATTGCTTTGGGTCCTTTCTTAAATGTAAGGGTGCTTGCTAGTTCTGAAATATAATTCCATTCTCATTTAAATATTTCTAACTGTGATAGCTGTGCTCTAGATGTGTAGTAGTCTGAATCCATTGTTATGGTAGCAAGAAACTAGTTCCAAATAAGCGTGCTATAACCTCTTAATTCATTAAATGGCAACTAGTAGACAAGTATTCAAAGGAGTACTTGAAGTCTACTCTTCAGTACTGCTGAAGAGTGTATGCCAAGATGGTAATTTGTAACTGAAGAGGTTCCTACTGCTGTAGGATATAGTTGAAGATGAAACTTCTAAACCTGTTCTTAGAATATCTGCAATGGGTTGTGCGATCCCATTCCTTCAAAGTGTGTCCTTAAGCCATCCAGTTCATGTGGAAGTGAGTGTGCAAAGAATACTTGTGTTGGTGAAATGTATGTGCTGTGCTTGGTGAAGTTCAGTTAGTATAACGATTGGAAATAAATGACTAAAAGCTCTTGCTTTACACTAGCGGCTGTTATGCAGCCTAGACTTCTGATAAGTGTTAGTATAGGGGGTTTTATGGACAACTAAGGTGTAACTGCAAATAATTAGCCCATAAGAGAGGACTGTTTGTGTTGTTTTGGACCTGCTCCCACTTCATTTAATTTAGGAGAATGTGCAGCTTCCAAGGTACTGTTACTACACTGTTACTAAACTGGTGTCTTTCTCAAACAGATTTTGAGAGTTTTGATCTTCCTGAAGAGCACAAAATAAGCAATATCAACCTGCGTGGTCTTCCCCTCATGATATTTGAGAGGACATATGACACTGTTGTGAACATGGTTCCTTCACCTACAAAGATTGAAGAGATTTCATGGGAGTCTAGTAAGTGGAAACTTATCATGAGTTTCAGTACATGCAGTGCTCCTTAATGGTTTGGGAGGGAAGCTAGTTGGCTGCAGTGATGAATTGCCACTACTGTGCTAACTACCAGAATAGCATACGAGTACCGAACAGGTTTTGGTGTATAGTTCAGCTGAATTTAACTGGTCAACCCACTCCCCACAGGCAGTGGTCTCAGGTAGTGGTCTCAAAGTGATGTAGCTCTGCAATCTCTTGGGGTGCATTGCTGACTGATCAGTTAGGTGGAATTGGCTTATGCAATCAAACCATATTTCCCTTAGTTGTTCCAGAGGTTTATACTAATTCACTGGGAGAGAGCTTATGTTAGAGCATAAATTCTGGGTTTCATGAGAAACTGATTTGCTCTATTCCTAAATTTCAGATTTGCTACAATCAACTTCTGACTTCCTTGCTACCCTGGATGAGATCATTGACATGCCACCTCCAAATTATGACCTCTAGTGCATATTCTGAAGCTTCTATTGATTTCAAATGTCTGTATTTCTGTATTTTAATAAAGGCTAATCCTGTGTAATACTGGACTTGTCTGTGTTCAGTCGGCCCAAGATGTAGATAGCCTCCTTTTCAAAGCACTATTTTACTATCTGAGCAGCAATTAAATGGTCATGATAGGTTTAGAGGCCCTTCTGGCCTTACTGTTTACCTAACTTTGTCCTTTAACCACTGAACATGCAAGGGCTTAAAACTGATGTGTACATCTAGTGTGAATTAAGTACTAGAGCTAGTACTCTATTGGCATTCTTTCTGTTCTTGGACTTGTTTGCTCTTCGCAGACTGCTTTTAATTGTCACAGCCTTCTGTGGCTCTCACTGCTGGGTACTGTTTGTGCTCTGAGGAAAGGCTGGTGGAACCACATCCTCCAAATTGAAGCACACAGATTGAATTATCTTTTACATTGTAATGGCCTCAACTCCAGTTCTTCATCACATAAGACAAGTCAGTTGTAGGGACAGTCAGCCTTCACTTAAGTTAGATTGCTTTTATAGTTCTGGGCAGTGCTCTGATCTAGTCAGATGACAGCATCCTGAGCTGCTTTTAGATTAACATGAATCTTTGAAATTTGCTGTTGTTGTTTGAGTCATCAGACATTGATAAAAGGGAAAACAGACATTTGCTCTATTTCTTCCTCAGACTTGTCATGGTATCAGCCAAAGTGTTAAATTGTAATTAATTGTACAATAGCTGGTCTTTATCTCCAGTTTCTTGTCTTTGGTTTGAAACTTCAAAGAATTCAGGGGAATACAAAACTAAACAGAAAAAAGATATGGCTAAGGAATTTCTCTAAAGATATTTCAGCTTTTGGCTGATCCTTCATTGTAGTTTAATAGTGTTTGATTCTGAAATAGCTTGGCCATCTCAGTTGAGATCAAAGTTTGATGGGTATAGTCTACTAGTCACAGGAGTTAAGCTGTAGTAACTATAAAAAAGTGTCAAAATGCATCTTTGTTTAACTTTTTGTTTTTAGCAGTTCAAATGAGCTTGGAGAAAACAGTCCAGGCCCAATTTTACAGGGTGGGGAAAAAAAAAATGCCTGTAACTAAGGCACTGAAACTGGTTAGACAGTGCCATCATGTGGCTGCTTGTTATGCAGCCACACAGATAAAAATGGTAGTGTGCAAACCACCAGGATAGGACACTAAATCAACATAAACATAGGTTGTAATGTTTTGTATGTACAGACAGACATCTTTTCTGGAGAGAGACACTAGTGCTTTATGTATTATAATGGTAAAAAATTCTTTTTGGTTAATTTAAAATATTGAGTGATCAAGCACCTAGATCTATTATTTAAACCTCCAGAAATAAGATTTTTGTACCATGTCCACATGTGTGTATACATGCACACAGGTCAAAACGTTTTAAACACGCTTGCTTGTTGTAGTATTTCCTATCAAAGTGGACAAGCATTTATATAAAGTTTGTCAAGGTGGTAATTAAATGACTCATAGGCCTCTTGGTAGTGATAGAGTTTAATCTTGAAGCCCAAAAATTTGTTACTTGTGGGGACAGTGCAATGGATGTGCAGAAAGCACTCTGTGAGTCAGACTGGGGAATATTGCTGCCCTGTCTGCATGAGAATGAATGCTGCTGCAGTGTAGAACATAAGGTAATGATTTTAGAATAAACTAAATAAGTTCAAACTAGAGTAATCTTGTTTGACTTAAATTATTAAATCCTTTCAAACTCAAAGGAAAAAGTAATAGGTTTTGTGTCCTTTCACCTACCTGCAATTCTCTTTTTTTTTTTCTCTAAAATCTTGAAAGGGTGTTTTGGGTGCAGAGGAACATTTTCCATAGGATCCTTTTTTGGGTATTTCAAGTGATTTTCTACAAATACTGTCTCTTACAGCTGCTGGCAAGCAGCACAAGGCAGTCAGAGTTAGGTCTGATTAAGAAGCAAGCAAGGTCTTCCAGATTTTTATCTGTAAATAGTTGAGATCAAGTGTTTCATGATGTAGCCCATGTCTGAGCCAAAACAGGAATGTTGCTTGCAATCTTGTGTATGGGATATAAGCCTGTTCTCAGCAACAGTGCAAAAATCTGTTTTCTTTATACTACCCATACAGCTAATTAATATTTGGTGTTTAAAGGTTGATTAGCTTTTCAAAACATTGGCTATGATCCTTTTTGTTTAAAAGATAAAAAATAAATGCTGATGTCTGGTTTCAGACTCATCCATGACAAAACCCAGAATTAAGAAGTCTCTATAGCAGCTGAATGATGAAGTTAACTTCAGTTTTGGTTGGATGTTAATTCCCATCATAATTTTAGGTGACTGGGAATAATTTTGTTTCCTACAGCAGTGTACCGCATCTGGGGCTTTTTGTTCTTGTTGAGGTTTCTACTTAGTGCAGGCCCAAGTTTTTGCTTTTACAAAACTTTATATTGTAAACATTAATTGGAAAGATCCATTTGTTTTAGCTGGCTTTTATTTCCCCCATTTTGTGTACTTTTCAACCCAGCTGGCTGGGGTTAAAGGGAAATGCATTTTCCTGTGACTTGCTTGAGAACAAAGCTGTGATGAGATTCAATCTGTGGATTGAGCTTCCTGCCTGCAGTGACTGGAGGAGATCCCAGTCGCAAAAGCATAGTATCCTATTTAGAAAGTGTGGACTCTCTTAGCCTCAGAGCTGCAAAACTAGTTTGTGTGTCAGCCCACGAAGCACTGGATTCCTGACATGTGAGGAGCCTTGTCGCTGGGAATTTTTCACTCCTTCGTGCCATTTCACTTAGGTTTTAACAGTGACTTCTGCTGGAGACTGAAAAATCAACTTCCTTAACTGTTTTAATGTTGATATAATGTGCGCAGCTTTTTATACTTATGAAGTTTTATTTCCTGTTGGGGTATGATCAGGAATAGATGCAATTTGAGCTCAAAATGTCATCTGAGCCCTACCCTGCATAATAGAATAGGAGTCCTATTTCAAACTGCTTGTAATGTTTTGGTTTACTTGCTTGATCAGTTTATGCTTCCTGCAAAGACCTGAGATATTTCGGTGTGATGCTTGTGTGGTAGCTTGTTCTCAGTTTGAAGGAGCATTAATAGGCCGGTGTAACTGCGTACTGTGATTTGGAAATCTGAATTGTAACCAAGTACACAGAGCAGCTACCTTCTTAGCTGGTTATTATTCTGTAAAGCAGCATCTTTGACAGCGTTCTGGCTGTGAGAATTGCTTTATATCCTTACCTGAATTTCTGTAAGGAGAACTTGAAGATTCATATAAAAATAATCTCTTAGGCTGAGTAAAATTACTTCAGTGCACATCAGACGATTCATCCTCTTTGTAATGTTCTGGCAGTGGGTGGCACCATGGTAACAGCATGTATTACAGCTTCTCACTCCTGCAGCCTGACAGCTGTGGTGTGATGATGTTTGCCTTTGGTACAGCATGCACAGTGCAGGCATCTCTAATGGGTTTCATTGCTTCATTAATGTGAAATAAGGATGAGAGTCAGCACTAAGGAATTCGGTGTGCCTTCACCCTGTGACTGCAGGGAACAGTATATCAGCCAGCGGCATTTTTATCTTTCGTTGTTTGAAAAGAAATTAGAAGCCTGGAGGCAATTGGTCTCTTTAGGGTTAGCAAGGCCGTGAATCTTGTAACTTTTAGTTCCACTGTAGTTGTATTAGCGTTAGCGAAGTACTGTACAGCAATACAATAATGTCCCGTTAACTAGCCCCAAAGTGGTGCTCACTGTGCTCCAAGAGACACGGGCACTGATCAGGTCAACATGTCTATAATGAGGTTTATATACAATTTATATACACTATATATTTAGTAACTGGTTGTTTGGGATCTTACTGTGCAAGCATGTGTTTTTGCATGTAACATTGCAAAGTGTGTGCGAGAGCATACTTGATAAATTTCCTTCTAACAGATGAGGTAGTCTCTCCCAGCTAAGGAAGCTGGAAGGAGGTTCATGGAGCTGAAGGCATGCTTCTAGCTCTAGATACTGTGTTGGGTTTTTTGTGCTAGCCAAATTATTCCCATAAGCCATATGGAAGGTTGAGCCTTTGGAGGCCCTTAGATGTTGGTTTTCAGTGGCTCAGGCTGGGCTTCTTTTGAGCACTTCTGCTCAATATATATAGCCAATGGGTAAAAGCATCTTGTAAGTCCCTCTGTATCACACAGACAATTTAAATGAATTGCTACAGGTTCCAGTAGAAGTGATTCCACTTTCTATTAGCAAGGGACAAAATTGAGATTATTGTGTATAGGGAGAACATGTAAAGATGGGGAGAGGAGAGCCTGGACTCTATAATATATATATATTTGCTTTGAAAACTGTTTGGTTTAATAATTTTTCTGCAGATCTGAATACTTCAAGGCATATGTCGGGTATGTCCTTTATGTGTTTGATCTCACTGTCTGAAGTGACCTGAACCAATCCTAAATAGTAACTTTGGAAAAGTTTAAACCAGGAACAAGGTCAGACTTTGATCTCATTATGACTAGTAATGATGATTTACATAGCACTGAAAATGATCCAGTCTACAAAGGCATCACTAACTGAGATGCTAAACTTGTCTTAAGAGTTGCTGAGGACCTTTCAGATCAAGTAAGGTGGGGGTACTGTTTTGGTGATGGACATTCTTTTTCTCGTGTAATTTTTCAGTTACTTAAAGTGGAATTAGATGCTTCCTTGAGGTGGTATAATGATTTGTGCAGCTCTACACAGCGGGATTTGAAAGAGGAGAAGGAAAGCTTTTTTGCATGGGGCACTGAAGATTCAAAGAACAGCTAGAATTATGCAGGGTGATAGACAAGATGTGTGCAGAGACATATCCTTCTAGGTAACAACATTTCCCTCATTGTTTCTTAAATTCTTCTAGCTCCAGCATGGCCTCACCCACAGCCAGTCTCTTCAGAAGTAAACTTCCTCCAACATGGCCTTACCCATGGCTGCAGTCCCTCCAGGGGTGTACCTGCTCTGTGGTAG